ATAGGCACATCAAATTGAGAGGTAGATGTCATTTGGGGGGGGGGATGGGGGGGAGGTTCGAATCCTAATACCGAGACGATTCGAGACTTCACTAATAGATGCAATTAGTCGCAGTTGTCCATTCAGCTGATTTTTCTTAACCAATTTTTGCTGACGGCTGATTTGTAAGAGATTGATAGCCAAGGACACGAACAAGGACGGTGGAGGGTCACAACGGACGTGGGGGGGCGGGGGTTAAGACCAGCCACCGGGGGAACGGACATTAGGTAAAGGAACGGACGTGTTAAATGAACGGACATCAGGAGTAAGTCTTTTAGGTTAATGAACAAATATATCACAAGAGAGGTGTGCTGTATGGGGCCTATCAGAACTGGGGTCTATCAGAACTGGGGTCTATGAGGACTGGGGTCTATTAGGACTGGGGTCTATGAGGACTGGGGTCTATTAGAACTGGGTTCCCCATTAGGACTGGGGTCTATGAGACTGGGGTCTATCAGGAACTGGGGTCCATGAGGACTGGGGCCTGCGGAGGACTGGGGTCTATTAGGACTGGGGTCTATTAACACTACTATTAGTAGTGGGGTCATTATAACTTGGGGCTGCAGAGTGAAGCATGGAGTAACTTAATGACGGTGGAGAGAGAGAGAGAGAGAGAGAGAGAGAGAGAGAGAGAGAGAGAGGTACATTCAAAATACACTCCACCATTCACCGTCTGCTAATGCACCACGAAATCATGGAAGGTATTGGAGGAGGAGGAGGAGGGGGAGGAGGAGGGGGGAGGAGGAGGGGGAGGAGGAGGGGGGAGGAGGAGGGGGGGAGGGGAGGGGAGGTTGGAGGAGGAGGGAACCGAGACAAGGTCCAAATGGTATTACGTCGTTCAACAACTATTGTATCGTATTGAGTAGTGGTGGTAGGGGTGGTAGGGGTGGTGGGGATGGCAGTAGGGGTAGGGGCAGTAGGGGTGGTGGTAGGGGTAATGGTGGGTGGGGATGGTGGTAGGGGCAGTAGGGGTGGTGGTAGGGTGGTAATGGTGGTGGGGATGGTAGGGTGGTAGTAGGGGTGGTACGGCAGGGGGATGGTAGTAGGGGCAGGGGCAGTAGGGTAGTAGGGTAGGTAGGGTGGTAATGGTGGGGATGGTAGGGTAGGTGGTAATGGTAGTAGTGTAGGTTAGAATCAGGTGGTAGGGTCACAGATGAAATTAGGTCAGGGGGTGGAAGATGTCAGAGGTAACTGGACCTTGTTAATAGGTTATGGAGGAGGGGAGGGGAGGGGAGGGGAGGGGAGGAGGAGGGGAGGGGAGGGAGGGAGGGAGGAGGAGGAAGAAGATGGAGGAGGGGGAGGGAGGGGAGGAGGGGAGGAGGGGGAGGGGGAGGAGGAGGAAGAAGATTATGGAGGAGGGGGAGGAGGAGGAGGAGGAAGAAGATGGCGATAAGAGATAAAGCAGCATACATAATAATCGCTCTTATATACATAAATAAATAAATGTATATATGTATACTTATTTCCATTAACACACACACAGTCACAAACACACACGACCCCAACACAAACAATATCAACAAACAAGTACACACAACCTCACACAACAACAACATCAACAATAATAATAATAATAATAATAATAATAATAATAATAATAATAATAACAACATTAACAACAACAACAACAACAACAAATGAGAGACCAATTCCTCACCTTCACAAAAACATTCATTAATACAACCAGTTCATAACTCAGGTGCTAATAACTTTACCTGTGTCTTGTTAATTAGATCGTGAGGTGAAGAACTGGTGTGACCTACCTGAGATGGTGGTCATGCTTACTACTACTGCTACCACCAACACCACTATCCACCACTACCACTCACTTCATCATCATCATCATCATCATCATCATCATCATCATCATCATCACCATCATCATCATCATCATCATCATCACCATCATCATCATCATCATCATCACTGTTAAAGGTCTTGGTAATAACTCGGGTTTGGGAGAAGCCATTTCATCCTGGCTGTCTGTCTGTCTGTCTGTCTGTTGAGCTGTCTGTCTGTCTGTCTGTCTGTCTGTCTGTTGAGCTGTCTGCCTGTCTGTCTGTTGAGCTGTCTGCCTGTCTGTTGAGCTGGGTCTGCCCGTCTGTCTGTTGAGCTGTCTGCCTGTCTGTCTGTCTGTCTGTCTGTCTGTCTGTTGAGCTGTCTGTCTGTCTGTCTGTTGAGCTGTCTGCCTGTCTGTCTGTTAGTCTATTAACCTGTCTATCCACCTGACAGCCACCTCCCTGAACTCGATAATAGACTGAGTTAGTGTTTAAGACTGAAGGTTGAGGCGTCTTGGTTCAGTCTTACGATGATGTGGATATGTGGGTATGTGGATATGTGGGTATGTGGGTATGTGAGTAAGTGGATATGTGGGTATGTGGGTATGTGGGTAAGTGGGTAAGTGGATATGTGGGTATGTGGGTATGTGGGTAAGTGGGTATGTGGATATGTGGGCATGTGGGTATGTGGGTAAGTGGGTGTATGGGTAAATGTGTGTATGGGTAAATGTGGGTGAGCATCTTAGTCTAGGTAAGGCGTGAGTCAAAGTGGTTTCTGAGATGGATATAGTTGGATAGAGATGGATGAAGTGGATAGAAATGGATGGAGATGATATTAAGGAGGATAAGTGGATGAGATGGATGGATCTAGATTATGATGGATGGATAATTGAACGAGGATGTATGAATTGGATGCATAAATGGATGGCTGTGGATGTATATGATATTGAGATGGATGCGGTGGATGAGAAAGATGGATGACAGCAGCGTGAGAAGTTTTACTCCGTGCACCAGGTGAGAACTGCGCTAATGAGCCCCGTTCATCACCCCAGGTATTAAATCCACACTCACACACACACACACACACACACATACACACACACACACACACACACACCCTAATTCATTGCTCGGCCTCATTTACATCGCCATTAAACCATCATTTACATCAACGTAAAACGGGTATTTTTTTTTTACATTTACACCTAACCTAACCTAACCTGCTGATTGGTTAAGGTATAAACAAGCTAAACGTTGATTGGCTTAGGTGTTTAAACTATTACCAGTTATAGGCTGCGTCACAGTCTTCATATGAAAGCTCGATGCTGATTGGTTGATAACATATTGAGTGAGGCCTTTGGTGCGTTGGAGCGGGTTCGTAAGGTCGACGTTGATTGGTTAATGTTATATGCTCTTTCGTTCCCGCCATTATGTTTTTTGGCGGGAAAATTAACCGCAACAACAAGTGGTTATTACACACACACACACACACACACACACACACCTTTACCATAAGCTACTTGATCGGGTTAGGTTAGGTTAGGCTTAAACTACTACTGGAGAGAGAGAGAGAGAGAGAGAGAGAGAGATAAGGAAGTAGTTAGGTAGGCAGTAAGGATGAAGGCAAGTCGGGAGGAATGGAAGGAAGGAAGGAAGGAAGGAGGAGAGAGGACAGGGGGGTAGGTCAAACAAGGTTACAGCGGGTCAGGTTAACTGGGGGTCAGATTATTGTGTTTATTATGACGGTGTGAGGGTGTTATGTCTTATGATTTTCTTATGTACCCTCTCTGTCTGTCTGTCCTCTCCTAATACTGTTACGAATATCTACAATAATAATAATCATATTATTCATAATAATAATAAAAATATTAATAATAATAATAATAATAATAATAATAATAATAATAATAATAATAATAATAATAATAATAATAATTTTTATAATAATAATAGTAATAATAATAATAATAATAATTTTTATAATAATAATAATAATAGTAATAATAATAATAATAATTTTTATAATAATAATAATAATGATAATAATAATAATAATAATCATATTAATAGTAATAATAATAATAATAATTTTTATAATAATGATAATAATAATAATAATAATCATATTATTCATAATAATAATAATAATAATTTTTATAATAATGATAATAATAATAATAATAATAATCATATTCATAATAATAATAAAATTATTTATAATAATAATAATAATAGTAATAATAATAATAATTTTTATAATAATAATAATAATAATAATAATAATAATAATCATATTATTTATAATAATAATAAAAATATTTATAATAATAATAATAATAATAATAATAATAATAATAATAATAATAATACCACTAGAGGGAGTAAGTGAAACATGGGTGGTGATGTCCGTAGAGTTTTCTAACTTGGACGACACGCTTACTACAGTACTAGTAATATTTCTTCTACTTTATTTTTTATTAAAAAACGTGGCCTCCAGCCTCTCCCAATAGCCACACCTTCGCCGCCATTTTATTACCTTAATATTAAATATCCTAATACATAAGTAGCTATCCTATCTGTGTTGAGTTAGTTGAGCCTCAGATCTATGCGGCATTCAGTGACTGATGGGGAGATTACGTTTGTTTGGTCGAACTTCTCTCTCTCTCTCTCTCTCTCTGTCTGTCTGTCTCTTTGCCTCTTTATCTCACTCTCTCTCTCTTCCTCTCTCACTCCCCTCCATATCTCTCTCTCCCTCTATCCCTCTCTCCCCCCCCTCCCTCTCCCCCTCTCACTCACTCTCTCTCACTATAGAGGAAGGAATTGGTCTGTCTTTTGAAGTTTTCTTCAACGTTCTCTAAGTCAATGAGTTTCACCTGACGTCCCAGTGGTTGACAGAGAGATTTACTTTCTCTCTCTGTCGCTCTATGTGTCTGTCTGTCTGTCTGTCTGTCTGTGTTTGTTTCTGTATCTCTCTGTATATGTCTCTTATCTCTGTCTGTTTATCTTTCTGTCTGTAGGTTATAGTATATAAAATATAGCATGAAGAGTATAGCCTAAAGTAGCTATGGCAAGGCATATTATGAAGAGATTAAAACTATCACATCTGGGTATAGCATTAAGGTAATTACTGTACGACCATTAGTCAGGAGGTACTACACAGGTGAGCAGGTCGTCGGTACTTACACTATCTCTTCTACATCGTCGTCCAGCTGGTCGTTGTGGTCGTCTGGGTGTAGTGGTCGTGGTGGCGGGGAGGCTAGACGACCCCTGAGGGAACACCAACACAGCATCACCGTCACCAGCACGAAGGCCACCAAGTTGACGAGTGAGGTGAGGAAGACCACCACCACCACGTCGTTGGTACTGTAGCAGCCACTGGGGGAGTCTGTGGTGCTGAGGGACGAGTGAGCACGTCTGAGGCCCTGCTGGATAGGGAGGGACGAAGGGTAGAACACGTCATCTGAGGCTGTTGGTAACAGTGTGTGTAGGTTCACGTCCTCGGTTGAGTCGTCACTTGGCACGTCGTTTGGTTTGGGTGATGGCTGTAAGGTTGCCACGTCCTCGTGCTCGTCCTCGTCCTTGCTGCTGCTGTGCCCGGAGGTAGTATCAGGAGCACCGCCCCGCCCAGACCGTAAATCGGTGGCGGCCTTCCCCGGGGAGACGTGAGGGAAAGGATGTGGGGCGGAGAGCTGTAGGGGCGGCCCAGACCCCACCACCCGCAAGGCCCCGTTTGTCTCCTCCCTCCGCCCCTCACCGCTTCCGACCTTCTCAGTTTTCACACCTTCCTCTGGTCGATTATTCTCCACCTGTCTCGCTGATAGATTCTCCGAGGTGGGGAGAGACTCAGAGATGCTGTTGTCATGTTTTTCTGGGCTATGATTCACCGTCAACGGGCCCATCATGAGCTTCGGGTCGGCGTAATGCTCTGAATTTTTAAGCGCGGTCCCCGGGTTCATCTGTGATGGGTGGCGCGCCCCACTGCCAAGTTTTATCGCCTGACGCTTGTTGGATTCCGAGGGATCACGTCTGGAATCCTGAGGCTTTTGTGTGACGTTAGGAAGAAGGTTGCCAGCTTTGGTGGCCAGGGAGGGGGCCGCGTGGTGGTGGAGGTCGTCTGCCGCAGTCGTCACCTCGTCCGCCTGCATTATGGAAGCGTTGACCACAGCTTTATGGCCCCAGCTGTGGTCCTCTGGGGTCCTCAGGGTACTGCTGCCCTCCCCAGACACTCTTGGACCCTGTCGGTAATTCACATCATTGGTGGTGTTAGTGAGCAAGGACACGACGGTATGGTGGGTCGTCGGGGCGCCCTGGGAGTCATTGGTAAGGTGAGAGGTCGTGGTCAGGGCCCCGGGCGTCCCAGGAGCCGAGGGGCCGGGAGGCGAGGGACTGAGGGCCATATTGGGGTCACTGAGAGAAGGCATCGAAGGTTTCTTATGTTTTTGTGGTCCCTCACCTTCACCCTCACCTTCACCCTCACCCTTAACCTCACCTTCACCCTCACCCTTACCCACACGCGGCCAGAATCCTGATGGCTGGTTAAGCTGGACCATATTTTCAGTAGTGGCTTTATCGTCCACTGCCCAGAGGTATGACGGAGCCTGGCTGTGGCTGTGGTGTTGTGTTGCCTCAAACGTTCTCTTGCCCTGAGCCTCCTGAAGGACGCTGCCGAAGCTGAGGTCTGAGTCCGGTAGCAGTAGCTCACTGTTCTCCTTCTCTCGTCTCCTCTTACCGTGGCGGACTCTGTGTCGCCTACGGTGCCCCCTGCCACGCCCGCTCCTGCTCCTCTTCTCTTCCATCCTACTCCATTTGGAGGAGTAAGGGAGAGGGAGGAGGAGGAAGTCGTCTTCTAGTTCTTGGTCGTGAAGGCCTTCCCCCGCCAGGTCCCCGAGGTGCTCTGGGAAGGGCTCAAAGTCCGGCAGCAAGTCCCGTGTTTTTCTCTTGCTTCTCGCGTACTGTGGCGTCGAGACAACCTGAGTGTAAGAGTTGTTTCCCTTCTTCTTGGTGACGGTCGTCTGTGTGTCTTCGTTTCTCTCCTCCTGGGGTTGACCTTCCTGGCCTCCAGCTCGAGGTGTCCCAGGGGCGTCATGGAGCCCCCGGGACGTGGCTGATGGGCGAGGAAGATCTAGATGGGGGCGTGAGTGTCGGGGGAAGACCTGTCCTCTGGTGACCTCTCCGTCAGGCAGTATAGGAGGAAGCAGACCCAAGCGTCCAGCAGCCGGACCGTCTGCAACCAAGAGAGAAATTGTTGTCAGTAGACCATAATGTAAAGACTTGGCTGATGACCAGACAACCGGAAAAACATTTTGTCAGAACCAATTGTTGTCAGCAGAGCGTGAGGCTTTGTCTGACCCAACAACTGTCAGAGGACCAGTTAGCGTTCACCTGTCATGGCCTGTCTGATGGAAGACCTGTCAAGGCATAAGAAATATTTTATTTTGTTATTATTTTACTTGCTATTTAACGCAGGCAATCACCGACGTTTGTTTAATTATGTGGACCAATCAGCTTTAAATACTCAAAATGCTGATTCTGGCCAGTTAGGTACAGTGTGGGTACAGTGAACTAACCCCACGGTACACAAGGACACCACATGATCGGCACTGTACTTGATCACCTTCACACCTACAACTGTAAATTAAGTACCTATTTACAACTACGTGGCCTGGGATCGAACCTGTGTCCCTTAAGAGAGTCAGTCAGTCGTCACAGGTAATATATTCCCCAAGACACTGTAACGTCACGGGACCACCTGGGAAGACATTGCTATTTTTACCTCGGGAAAGAAAAGACAAATACTTCTGTAGTCTTAGGGGTGAAAGATTATTTTTCCTCCTACTCCTCCTATGGGAAAAAAACTATTTTCCCTCCTCGTACGGGAAAAAAAACTATTCTCCTTACGGGAAAAGAAAAGACTTTTCTCCTTCACACTATGGAAAGAAAGAGAGAATATTTTATTACCTCCTGTTAAAAAAAGATAGATTTCTTTCCTCCCGCTGTGGAAAGATGATGACCATTTTATTCCTCACATTCCCGGAGAGAGAGAGAGAGAGAGAGAGAGAGAGAGAGAGAGAGAGAGAGGAAACTTTAATGGTATATTGATATTTGTAGTTTGTAAAGAATTATGGTTCGGAAATTTACATATAAATAAAAAGACGAAATAAACAAGGTCTCTCTCTCTCTCTCTCTCTCTCTCTCTCTCTCTCTCTCTCTCTCTCTCTCCATTCGAACTTTCTCTATATATTCTCACATTCCATCTTTCTCTTTCTCTTTTTATCTCTATCTCTGTGTATCTGTTCGAACCCTAATACTCGAACCCTAATACTCGAACCCTAATACTCGAACCCTGGTCCTCGAGGCTTCATTTACATACGTGTCTCCCCGTCTGTTGTCGTGAGATGAAACGACTTGACAGAGTGGGAGGAATTTCCTCAAGAACTTATGTACAGTTGTGAGAGATTAAGTGTCTGTCTGTCTGTCACACACACACACACACACACACACACACACACACACACACACACACACACACACACACACACGCACACCTTAAACAAAATCCCGCAAACAAAATTTTTCATCCCGAAGAAGAAGAAAAAAAAAATCACGGACAAAACGAAAAAAAAACGAAAATCCGCAAAAATCGGCCTAAATTGGCAAAAAATTCACTCTTGCGTTTGGGTAAAATCTGAGGCCATCATCTTAGAGCGGGCGACCTGAACCAAACCGTAAGTTATGATGCGGGGAATAAAAATACCCCCTATCAACCACTCCCATCACCCTCCCATCACCCCTCCCATCACTCCCACCCCTCCCATCACCTCCCATCACCCCCCATCACCCCCTCATCTCCCTCATCAACACTTCTACCCCCCACCCACCCTCCTTACTTTTTGTTTTGGTAGGGGGGAGGGGGGAGGGAGATGGGGGGAGGGGTGAGGGGTGGGGAGAAAAGGGGTGAGAGAAGGGGGTAGGGGATGAGGGAGTTAATGGGTGAGGGGGGATGTGATGTGATGGGGAGGGGTGGGGTAGTGGAGGGGAGAGGGAGTGAGGTGGGAGGAGGGAGGGAGAGAGAGAGAAAGAAGGAGGAGGTAAATTGGTGAGGGAAGGAGGAGGAGAGGGAAAGGTCCAACAGCTCTTAACCAATGATGAATCGCTGGTTGATAAAGGTGAATTCTGATTGGTGGAGGACTATTACTTCTTGGGGGGCTTCGACTCCAATGAATTTAGTTCGAAAGCTGCCGTGGTAGGTGTTGTTAATCTCTCTCTCTCTCTCACAGTCTCTCTCTCTCTCTCACACACTTTCTTTCACTTACCTTTTCACTCTCACTAACACACACTCACACACACACACACTCCCAGCAACAGAATACCTGGGAAGCATTTTGCGTGATGTTCTTCCTTAATTACTAGGAAATTATGTGTGAGAGAGAGAGAGAGAGAGAGAGAGAGAGAGAGAGAGAGAGAGAGAGAGGCATATCTCCACGCCCTCAGAGTAAAAATCAGTTATGGACTTGTGTCATTGTTTCACTCAGACCATTTCTCTCCCCTCCCCCGGTCGGTCTGGTCTCTGGGTCCGTCGGATCCTTCGGGGGGTTAAGATTTAGTCTTCTTTTAGGTCTTTTGGTCTTTTTTTATTGGTCTTGTCTTTATTTTGGTCTTTTGTTTGTTTTTCTTTTGTTTTTGGTTGTTTTTAAGTATTTTTAGTATTTTTCGTCTTTTTAGGGATTTTTTATATTTTTGTCTTTTTAGTGATTTTTATTTTTCCTCTTTTTAGGGATTTTTATTTTACTTTTCGGTCTTTTAGCGAATGAGGGAGACGGAGAGATAGGAGAAGGAGGAGGGGGAAGAAGGGCAGGATATAATCAGAGGTGTGGGGGCAGGATATACTGTCATACTTTCTGTTCAAGAGGAAATTATGTGCCAAAACTTTTCACTTTACTTAACCATTGTGAATTTAGTGTCATTACCTTCTCTCCCTCCCTCCTTCTCTCCCTCCCTCCTTCTCTCCCTCCCTCCCTCCTTCCTTCCCTCCTTTCTTACTTCCCTCCCTCCTCCTCCTCCTCCTAAAGGTAGACACACAGGTAGTTGGTTTAATTTGATGATCGTAGGGGCGTGACGGTCCAGCCTGGAGACGTGTATGCCGGATTACTTCACCAAACACTGTCTGTCTCTGTCTGTATGTCTATGTATCTGGCTGTCTGGCTGTCTGTCTGTCTGTCTGTCTGGATGTCTGTCATTCCCTCTGTACACACTCATTCACCTTATCCACGAACACACACACACACACACACACACTTCACGGTGCGCCTTCAAGAATTTCGAGTAAGACTTTAGTTGCTATCTGTGAGCATGTCTTGTCTTGCCCCCCTCTCTCTCTCTTTCTCTTCTCACTATGGTTTCCAAATCTGCTTTTAAAAGACTAAGTTTTGCCTGGCAATTTTGTCCAGTTGTAATGGTTCTGTTTGTCAGCCCCTTGTTTTATTGTGTGTGTGTGTGTGTGTGTGTGTGTGTGTGTGTGTGTGTGTGTGTGTGTGTGTGTGTGTGTGTGTGTGTGTGTGTGTGTGTGTGTGTGTGTGTGTGTGTGTGTGTTTCTGGGTTTTGTTAGTTGAAGGTTTAAGTGTCTGTTTTTTTTTCTGTTTGTGTGTTAAATGGATCTGTGTTTGTTTTATTCCATTTTTATCCTTCCTTCCCTCTCAGTCTCTCTCTTTTATCTCCTCTCCTCTCTCTCTAACACCCCCACTCTCACTCTCCTTCATCCTCTCCTCCCTACACATCTCTCTCCCTCTCTCCCTACACGTCCTCCTTGCTACCTGTCTCACCCCCCCTCCCTCTCTCTCTTCTCCCTCCCTCTCCCTACACCCCACGCTCTCCCTCCACACCTCTCCCCCTCTCTCTCTCTATATCTCCCTCACCTCTCTCAGCCACAAGCCCTGGCAGGTCCTCACAACAGACGTGTTAGGAAGAGAGTCAGGCAATAACTGAGGGGGGCATTGATTCTCTGGTCTGATGGTTTTCAGATTACGACTACTCTCTCTGTCTAGTCTCCTGTTTTTGTTTCCCAATCTCGCCTCCTCCTCCTCCTCCTCCTCCTCCCTCCTCCTCCTCCTACTCACTTCATTTCCGATTGGATTACTCACTACTACTACTTCCATGTATTTAATCTGTGGGATGATTCTCAATATGTAACTTAATATGTGAATTCATATGTCGTCCGTGTCGCCTGTATTATATATGTGTTTGGTTGTGTTGCCTATGTTGTGTTTAATTCCTTATCTCAATTCCTCTGTTTATTATTCCATCTCTCTTGTCTATTTTGGTGCTAGGGAAGGTGTGATGGTCGTGATCCTAAGTTCGGTTTTCATTTTTGTTTACCTTAAGTTTGGCTGTAATTTTTTATCCTAAGTTTGGTTTTCATTCTTTAAATTCTAAGTTGGGTCGTATTTGAATCTTTTCTCATTCTGGCATTTATTGTTTATGTCTTTTCCTTGTTATCTATTACTTTTTTTATCAACAATTCTTTTTGTAGTTTAGGTTCCATTAGCATTCGTCTTTTGTTTATTTTCTTGAAGTGATTTGATCGTCATTTGTTTCAAGTTTGTGGGGTTTATTGGTTGCTTTGTTTACATATGTGTTCAGGTTGATGGTATTGACGGCATAGGCGTGAAGAACAGCTTTGATCGGCTTTTGTTTCCACGTTGTACCTTTTATTGGTTTCTGTGTTTACATTTGCTACCACGGATCCCACGAGCTTATAGTATAGATAACATGGAATTGAAGGACTGTCTATTGGCTTTTGTTTCAGTATTGTTGCGTTTATTGGCTTCTGTGTTTACACTTGTTACTACGAACTTGGAACTTATAGTATAGACGATATGAAGATTAGGGACTGCTGATTGGCCTTTGTTTCAGTATTGTTGCGTTTATTAATTTTCTATAGTACAGACGACATAAACATAATGAACCTCCGAATGACACACACACAGTAAACAAAACACAATAAACATATTTGAACGTTTGTTGTTTACAGTCAGTCTTACAAACAACACAAAATTTAGCAGTAAACAGCTATAATTCGGGGAGATTATTCATGAATTATCGTGTGCTGGCAGAGGTGTTGTGATAATCTGGTGTAATTGACAGATGATCCCCAGTGAGTGTTCAGGTGGTCACGGAGGTGTATGTATGTATGTATGTATGTATGCATGTATGTATGCATGCATGTAT